TAATTTCCTCCCTTGTATGAGCTTTGGGGTTGTCCTGCTCTTCTTTTTCTAGAAGCTTGAGGTTCAGCATCAGGTTGTTTAACTGGGCTCATTCTGTTTTCCTAATATATGTATCCACTGCTATGAATTTCCCTCTTAAGACTGCTTTCATTGTGTCCCATAGATTCCGATATGTAGTATTGTCATTGTCATTTAATTGAAGGAACTGAACAGACAGAGATCTTGTGGAACAAAGGTCTGAAGAGCCAATATGGAGGCCTTAACCAATAATAATCTTAGTCTGCTCGAAAAGGAGAAACAAGCCATTGAGCCTGGAGTTAAAAGAGGGAAGAGCCGTGAGAAATGCTGTGGACCAGTGAGCAGCAGCCAGTCCCTGCTGGGCTTCAAAGGCCATGATCTCGTGCCATGGGATGCCATTGGCGGGATTTTGTTCAGTTTAAACAGGGTAGTGATATGTCTGATTATGTTTTATAAAGTGGAATCAATCTTTTGTAACCTGTAGATAAAGCAAGATTTGAAGCAGGGAGACCAGTGGAGACAGTGAGTGCTGTTTACAGCTAGGATGCAATTGTGGCTTATGCTTTGTTACAACAGTAAAGTTGAGAAGAGCTTAAAAGCAATTATGATTTGAAGGCACACTTAGCAAGATTTGCTCTGATAGACTGTTAAGGGCCAAGAGCATTGGCAAGAAGAGTAGAGAGGAGAAGGGGAAAATCAGGAGAGCGAAATGGGACAAGATAAAATTACCTAGGGAATACCAGGCAGAGGTGACCAAGAAACATCATCTTACCAGATGGGGAAATGAGAAGAACATGGTGTTGTGGAAGTATTTATAAAGGAGAAGGTGCATGGTCAGCTGTGTTCAATGCTGCTGAGACAGAGTAGGACAGGCCATTGGATTTCACAGCGCAGAGACTGTGAATATCTTGGCAAGGCAGTTATAATAAACTGGAAGGGAAGAGGTTAATTGGAATGGTGGAAAAGAGAACAGAAAGGAAAAAGTAGGGAAAGTAGCTATAGATCAGTTTTTCATGTGAAGCAGAAGAAAGAATAGGTTGATAAAGTGAAAATTAGGGTCAGAAGAAGGTTCCTTAAAGACAAAAACTGTTTCAGTGCTGACAGGAAGAATCTGCTAGAAACTGGGAAGGAAAAGATAAGAGAAGAGAGGAGATACTTACGGCGATATACTAGAAGACAGGAGCAGGAGCCCACTTACTAAAACAAAGGAGAAGAAGAGAAAATGGTAACAAATGTAGGGGCATTGACCTGGCATTGGAAGGTTCCATGTTCCTGCTTGGAGCAGGGAAGGGTGGCTGGTTGGCGGCTGAAGGAGACAGTTGTGAAGTGGGCATCTTGCAGTGTGGGAAAGCAGACTTTGTAGGGAAGTGGCCATGAGGTGTACAGCTGTGAATTCAAAGTGAGACTGAGTGGTGTTTGGGTGGTTTTCACCCTGGCTTCAGTTTGGGGAGAAGGGGGCAGGAACCATTCAGAGATGAGATTACAAAGACCTTTGTTGATAACAGTCTGATTCCAGAAGAAAGGTTCTGCAGACAAGGAAGGCTGAGCTATTGAGTTGGATTAGAGAATTACAGACAATGATCACAGTAAGGGTCTGGGTGAAGATAGTCGCTTCAGAGACAAGGAGGTAAGTAGAGCCTTCCTTAGCTGCCATCGGGTACCTAGAGCCTGCATGAGGTATTGGAAGGAGGACAGAAGGCAGTAATTAGTGCAGGACTTGGTCTGGCTGCTAGCACATGTGGCTCTTGGGCTCTCGAAATGTAGTCAGTCTCAACGAGGGTGTGCTGTAAATGTAATGCAAGCAGCAAATGAGAACTTGGGCCCCCAAATATCGGTATTTTTATATTGATTACATGTTGAAATAATATTTGGATATATTTGGTTACATAGACTGTATTATTAAAATTAATCTCACATGTTTCTTTTTGCATTTTATGTGGCTACTTGAGAATTTGCATTATGCTTGTGTTGGACATTGCATTATGAGAATTTGCATTATGCTTGTCCCTGGTCTCAAGTAGAATACCTGGCTAGAGGCTGAGCAGCCTCTGGACCCTGCTCTTTCCTGTACAGGAACGGTCTCCCTGGGGCACGCGGCCAGCTGTCGATTTTGCATGTTGGAGTTTTCCCCCAACATAAATTAATCTACATTTGTCACCACTGAATTTCATCTTAGGAAACCTTTTCCACTCAGTTCTAATACACTTGTATTTAATCACAGTCTAATGCTAAACGCTCTACAGAATTAACTAGCACCTGTTTGGTACCACATTACTATAACATCGTTTTTTTTGGTACCAGGGATTGAACTCGAGTCCTTGCGCTTGCGCAGCAGGTGGCGAACCCACTGAGCTAAATCCCTGGCCTGGTACCACATTACTGTATGTCATCCTTGCCAGCCTTTGTATCCCATTTCGGAAACATGCCCTCAGTTTATCTTTAAGATATTTAGAAAGATATTTAGAAACAATCAGGCCAAAGTTCTGATGTAAACCCAAAAAGTTCAGAGCTTGTTGTTTAGTACCTTAAAATATATTGCAAAAAGCAATAGAAAAGAAATTTAGTTAGCATTTTTCACTTAATGAAACAGATCCAGAGAGATTATAAAGTGTTTTGATGCCAGAAAGCAAGTTCTTACTCCTTCATGTTGTGCTCTCACCTCAGAACATTTACTGCATCAGACGATAATATAATAGTCCCCAAAATGTAGGGTGATTACTAAGCAGATCAGATCTTGTTGTCCTGAAATGGTTTCCAAGTATACGTGCTCTTGTGCTTTCGGCAAGTTCATAATGTTGCATGATGAATGTAACAAAGCATAACATCAAATCTTGTTAACTAATCTTTGAAGAAAGAACATGTAACTATATGCAAAAGCTTCTAAAAACTAAGCATTTATGCCAGCCCCATAAATTATTCAGCTTATAAAATTTTCCAGACTATACAATGTTCACATGATAGTAGCCCCAGCAATTATGTGTCTGACAAAGCAGTACTAAAACTTCAAAAACTTACATTAATTTGCTATAGCTAATGTTTGTATATATTATAGAGGTTTACATTATAACAGTGAATTAAAATACTGCAGTTATTATAAAGGTTCCTGCTTCTTTTTAAAAAACTACCAAAAGCTGAACCCTTTGTTTAATTATCTAAAAGTAGTTTGCTGTTTTTAGCAAAGTTGGCTTTGTCATGCTAATCTACAGGGCATTATGTACTACTCTTAACTTTAAAGTCATACTGGGGTCCCAAATTTATATAGTGAAACCAGTGATCTTCACTAGGAAGAGGCTTGGGTTAGGAACCTTATAGACTGACTAGTCATTATCCTACCTCAAAGGCCTCATCTACCTGCAGTATGCCTATTGACCCCAACTTTTCAAGCCTAAATATATAAGCTAAAGTAAACTATTTCCCAAGCTTCTCCATATTTAATGAGAATATGAACATGTCTGTGTATCACATCTTTTATGAAACTCCAACTTTCCTATTATGAATAAAGAGGTGAGCTTGTGAGTAAGAGGTGAGCTTGAAAAATGTGTAATGTGTTACAATAATTTTTTTCAAAATATATTCATCTAGGTGGCACATATTCGAGCAGAAAGAGATATTTTGGTAGAAGCAGATGGTGCCTGGGTGGTGAAGATGTTTTACAGTTTTCAGGATAAGAGGAACCTTTATCTAATCATGGAATTTCTCCCTGGAGGTAAAAGAAAACATTACAGCAGTGACAGACTGACCTAGCATAACTGTTGATTTGGTTTACTTTTATATTCCTAGGTCTGAGATTTTACACAATTTTTTTGAGTTTTTGTGTTTATTTCCATAATAATGCCCAGATTATCTTGAAGGAGTGATTAGTATGAGATACTTTTAGATGGTACCATTTTGAGTTTACTGTAACCAGTTAGACTGTGTATAAGTGTGGAGTGAAAAGAAATAGCCAAGTAGCCAGGCATGGTAGGATATACCTATAATCCCAGGTACTCAGGAGGATGAGGCAGGAGGATTGAAAGTTCTAGGCCAGCAGGAGCAACTTACTGAGACCTTCTCAAAATAAAAGAATAAAAAGGGCTAGAGATGTAGCTCAGTGGTGGAGCACCCCTGTATTCCATCTTCAGTACTACCAAAAACAAAACAAAACGAAACATATGATGGACAATGTTCAGTTTCATTGATATTCAGGGAAATGCAAATCAAAAGAAGATTGAGATACCATTTCACACTCCTCAGAATCTCAGATCCCTTGAAGTCTGATGATGCTGAGTATTGATTAGGTGGTATTGATTTGGGAGACACTGGCCTCTTGTAGACAGATCTTAGCTTTCCTGGAGTCCATTATAGAGATGTCCCATGAGGCTGAACAGTATGTGTCCTATGGTCCAGCAACTGCCTGGCCAACTATTTCCTGGAGACACTCCTCACGGGCACAAGAGGCTATGAGGAGAATGCTCATTGCAGTATTGACAGGTGGTGGAAAACGATATAGACCAATACCCATCAGTATGAAATGCTTTACAGTAGTTAAAAGTCACAGGATAGGGCTGGGGATTTAGCTCAGTGGTTCCGCTGTTTGTCTTGCAAGTGCAAGGACTCTGAGTTCAATCCCTGGTACCAAAAAAAAAAGTCACAGAATACACATCTGGCTCAGAGACACAGTGGAGTGAAATGAAGCACACTGTAGAATCACAAAGTTTGATACTATTTATGTGACTTTTGAAAATACACAAAAATCTGTAAGTTTACAGATATATATATATATATGTATATGAATGAAAACATTTTAAAAATAAGCTAGAAAGGCATGTACCAAGCCAAATCTAGCCATCATTGCTCAGCTAAGAGGCAAAGGGAAATAGAATGAGAATAGAGGACTAAGGGAAAAGGAAATAGAATGGGAATTTTTTTTAAATGACTCAAAGGAAATATGAGAAATTGTTATCAGTTGTTAATTCTGTGTTTTAAGCACACCAATGTAGTTAAAATACTCTTTGTCCCTTTTAAAAAAAGAAATTTCCTGAAAATGGAGAAATGTCTGGAAATGCCTTTTAGTGGGCTGATGTGTCCTATTTTTGTTGGACTAATGTGCTCGGACTGTTTGTGAAACTTAGAAAAATAGATCTTGTTTCCAGGTGGGTTTGTTATTATTTTGCACAGTTTGACCTGTTTTCTCCAGCAGGCTGATTTCTGGGTGTTGAGTGGGGGGTTATTACTTCAGTGTCAGCTCAGCTCTGATTCAGTTTCACTTACTCTGTGCCTTAAAGCTATCATGTCACAAAACTTTTGCTTATGCATTGACAGTTTAATTTTATCTAGCCCCAGAAATGGCTAAATATATTGGGTAGATCATAACATGCCAAATCAATCATTTGTTTCACAAATAGGAAGGAGATTTGTGCAAAGTACTCTGCCTTGGGAGCACTTTCAGTAACACGATGCTTCCTTTACATAGGTGACATGATGACCTTGTTAATGAAGAAGGATACCTTGACAGAAGAGGAAACGCAGTTCTACATTTCAGAGACTGTTCTGGCCATAGATGCAATCCACCAGTTGGGTTTCATCCACCGGGATATTAAGCCAGACAACCTTTTATTGGATGCCAAGGCATGTGAATAAACTAGTGAAATGTTAGGTGGTTGTTGTTGTTTTTTTAAATAGACTAATAGAGCTGATTTTATGATTGGAAATGGGCAACTACAATTCACATTATTTATTGCTAAACTACAGTATTTCATAGAATAGTACAGTGGGAGAGGACGCTGGAATAGAATGACACAGGATGTGGCTGTCTTTTTAATCTCCCTGCATTTTCTACTTTTCAAAATGATTACCCTAAAATACTTATAATTTTACATTTTTACAAATATAAATTCCAAACTAAGAATTTTTATAAAAGTTGGATTTTTTTTTTTTTGGTACTGGGGATTGAACTCAGGTCCTTGTGCTTGAGCAGCAGGCAGCGAAACCCCTGAGCTAAATCCCTGGCCCTTAAAAGTTGGATTTGAAAGAGGAGTTTGCAATAAGGTTTTGTTTTTCAAAATTAAAATAATCTGATTTTACTATAATTTTTTTAGGGACATGTAAAATTATCTGATTTTGGTTTGTGCACGGGATTGAAGAAGGCTCACAGAACTGAATTTTACAGAAATCTCACTCACAACCCACCGAGTGACTTCTGTAAGTTTGCTATTGTTTTCCTAACTAAAATATAGTTTGTTTAGTTCAGTGCTGTTAAGAACTGAAGATTCTCTCCTATCCTCTCCCCATTCTCTAAATTTACTCATGTGCTTCAGATCAATATGTGCGATTTTGTCTCCTGGTGAGCTCTTCCCTCATGCTTACCATTTTGTCTTGTTGAAATCAGCATTTCAGAACATGAACTCAAAGAGGAAAGCAGAAACCTGGAAGAAGAACAGAAGGCAGCTGGTGAGCCCGCCACTTTTTAAGAAAGGATTCTGTGTCTTGGTCCTGAAGCCTTGTCTTTGTTTACACAGATGTGACAGTGCATGTTCCGAGATCACACCATATTCTTACTTGCTCTTTATGGTTCCCTTACCTATAAAGCAAACTGTCAATTTTTACTTTATGATTTAACTTTAGGGTACTTTAATGAGCATATCTGTGAGTAAGTGATCTACTGTGTAAGTAATGTGCTGTAAGTTATCTGTTTCATTAGTGATTAACACTTTAAATATAATTCACTGAGATGAATGTAACTGTAAAGAATGACTTGTGATTTCTAGTTTTCCATTTTCTGTGCCTGTAGTATAAATCCTGCTGCAACAAACACCAGCCAGAAAGTAAAGCAGTGAATTTCCAGGAACTTCTTTGCAGACCGAGTAAAGAGGAAGTTGGAATGTCAGCAATATTACAATAAAATCGATATAAAACTTTAGACAGATAAACTTAATTACTCCTTTAATGCAGAATTACACTGCCTGTTTTTAATCCCATGCAATTTCCCTTTTATTAGCAAGTATAGAAATTGTTTTCCCTTTTTCTTCTTTCCCTTTAACTTGCTAATTGGGACCATGGGCATTCCTAAGATTAGGACTGTACCTTTTGACTTTGTTTTTCTAGTCTTGCATACAATGCTCGGAGTGGATAGACATTTTATAAATATTTATACACTTTAGCCAAGTGATGACAAGGGACACTAATTTACCATTCTCAGGGGATTAAGTAGACTGAACAATAATAGCCTGACACCCTCTAAAGCCAAACAAACAACCTGTGCACTACTGAGCTCATTCTTTCCTTAATCTATGGAACAGCAGACTTTATGCTTGTCAAACACTTCAGTGTTCACAAAATTTATTTACTGTGTATATTAAAATTTATTATGCATTAGGGAGAAAAACTTCATTCTGCTTCTAAATGTGTCACTTTAGATCAGATTTTACAATTGGGAAGAGAATTGCAGTATTCCCTACTTGCAACAGGAAAATCAGTGAACACTGCTGAAAACTATTGCAGTGGAATTGTGTGCCTCTCTGTACAGGTGTTCCTAATGAAGACTTGTGCACGGGTTCTTGTGCTCCTGGAAGTCAGGCACCCTGTCTAACATTGTTTCCCAAGGGAGCAGAGAGGACTTCATATACAAATGACTTCAGAGTTTCTTCTGGGCAGAAATCATGTATTCTTTAACATGTTATCTGACTCAGTATCTGTCACATAATAAACATGTAAAATAAGGATTACATGAAAAACTAACCTCTTTATATATTCCTTTTATCAGTAGTAAATGATGTTCACATTTTTAAAAAACGTTAAAGATACTGGCTTGACATACTGTCCCTTGTAGGCATATTCCACAGTTGGGACACCAGATTACATCGCTCCAGAAGTCTTCATGCAGACTGGATACAACAAACTATGTGACTGGTGGTCCCTGGGAGTGATTATGTACGAAATGCTAATAGGTATGTCGTTAACTTATGTACATAATAAATACACCTCAAGAGTGCCATTGTTTAACATATTACAGACGTCATGACCTAAAATAGCTGAGCTGCTTTAAACCTTATTGTTAACACTTCTCAGTGTTAAATATGATAAATACCAACAAGCTCCCCAGGGTCCTATGGCAGGAAGGGGGCTGTTGAACCTGAGCTGCCATGCATGCATATTGGACCTACGTGTCTGCAGGGGAAACAGGGAGCAGTCCTTTGTCTTACTGGCTTTATTAGGGTTTTATTGTACAGTGATGAATGGTGGGTTATTCTACTGTTAAACAGAGCATGCAGGGTTGCTTAGCTTCTGTGGCACATATTTAGTAGGTATAATTTGATCAATCACAAAGGACAATAAAGCTTTTATTTTCCCTGATATGTAGGCTATCCTCCTTTCTGCTCTGAAACTCCTCAGGAAACATACAGAAAAGTGATGAACTGGAAAGAAACTCTAGTATTTCCTCCAGAAGTACCTATTTCTGAGAAAGCCAAGGACTTAATTCTCAGGTCAGTCGTTAAATATCAGAGAAATGTAGGGTATCTCAGAACTTAAAAAGTACCTAAATGAACCATTTCATTTTTGTGAGGAGAGAAAAAATAGCAGTGATATGTATGGTCAAAGAGTTCAATAAAGAAAGGTGTTTTAAAAATGTAAACTCCTGGGCTGGGGATTTAGCTCAGTGGTGTCGCCGCCTGCTGTGCAAGCTCAAGGACCCGAGTTTGATCCCCGGTACCAAAAAAAAAAAAAAAAGTAAGCTCCTGAAAAGGAAGTTTGCAGGAAAAAACAGATAAAAACACAGAAAGGCCTGGTATTGTTTTGGGTATTGATGTAAAGTAAATGCAAAATGTCACTTTTGTTAGAATATAGTAACTCAGTCCCATTAAAGGAAAAAGGGAAAATAAATCTGTTACAGCAGGAACTCCTGTCATGGAAGTCTGTGTATGAAATCTTCTGGGCAGGAGACTGCATTGTGCTCCCCAACTGAGTGTAGTGTGCATGTGACCTGCGACCCAGCAATTCTGCTTGTAGGAATTTTGCTTGGCAGATAATCAGATATGTATAATGATTTAGTATGTTTATCATAGTATTATTTGAGTTGTGAAAAACTGGAAACCTAAATGTTAAGCAATGTTGGAGTGGGTAAATAAATTATAATATCACCAGATACAAATTTTAGAAAATTTATAGAAAAATATTTAATAACTGGGAAATTTTTTCAGTGTGTTAAGTGAAAAAGGTAGCCCTGAAATAGTCAAGAAATTAGGAGTAAGTTCAAAATATGTACAGTAACTGGCCCTAAATAATGCAACTCGTGATGACTGATTTTCTCCTACATTTTTCCACAACGAACACAGTTAAGATCAGTAAACAGGAAAAAATTGTAATGCTTTGGAAAAATTAAACGTTTGAAATGATGTGACTAGAGTCTGGATGGGTGTGATTTATGTATGTTAATTTCTGTTTCCTTCTTTCCTTGTTTAGATTTTGTATTGATTCTGATAACAGAATTGGGAATAGTGGAGTAGAAGAAATAAAAGGCCATCCCTTTTTTGAAGGTGTAGACTGGGGGCACATAAGGTATGTTCCTAGGCTTGGAAGGGAGAAGCTGAGGAAGAGGAGCCTCCAGTGCTAACAGGGACTTTACCTGTGATTCCGCTAGATCGCACAGGAGAGGTAGCACTGTTGGCTGCGCTGTGGAGGCAGTGTTTTCCAGATGCTGTGAGTGAGACTGCTGGCTATGAAATGACTCATCTTGGCCAATAGTAAAGCAGCATTTAAGAATTGCTTACCATTGTTAATTGTGAGCTTTGGCCTTTCTTCAGTTGTGGCCACACTGCCTTCTGTAGTCCAGTGTTGTGCACCGAGCACATGGGAAATACCAGTCTGATGGCGCCTTGTTCCCTCCTTCCCTTTGCACCAAGAATGAGCTACGAGCCCTTGATGGGCCTGCAGGGAATCTTGCCACACCTGGATGGGTCACTTCTCAGAGTTCTTTCATCTGTTGCTCATTCCAGCCAGAATGCTCCTCTGCCAGGGCTTGTTCTTACCTCTGCCCCTGCCCTGCCCTGCCCTGGCCTGCCCTGCCTCTTCCTTCTGAAGAGCTCGTGTCACTTCCTCGGTGTAGACCTCCTTGGAGATCCCACTCCGATCCCGCCTATTATAATAACCGTGATAGGTTGATCATTGCTTGTATGTGCAGCCCTTCTATGAGTACTTAGCTTGCATTTCTCCTCTTATCCTCATGATAAACCCTATGAGCGAGGAACTGATTTACAGATGAGGAAACTTAAGGCATGGAGAAGTACAGTGGTACCTCGGTTCTTGAACTGAGTTCTCCACGATTTGGTCATAGATTGATCTAAATGAAAACCGATCCAAATTTCTCTGTTAGGTCAACGTTGAACCTAACCATTGAATTTGACTTTAGTTCTTGTCCATCTCGGTTTGCTACCAGAATTGTGGAAAGAATCAAGTTCGCGAACTGAGCTACTACTGGAATTTGCCTACAGGGCCACAGCTAAGTGAATGAGAGAGCTGGTGTGGCCCAGGCAGTATAAGTCTGGAATCTTAATCCTTTTTTGTGTGTGGTTTGTGGTGGAAATTGAACCTGGGGCCTCACACGTGCCCTAACACTGAGCTACATCCACAGGCCCTGGAGCCCTGACTCTTGACTGCTGCTTTTTCTTGCATCATCTCATTGAAGACAAATATGAGCCCCTTCTCTCTTTTCTTTCTTTTTGTGGTACTAGAGGTTGAACCCAGTGCCTTTGCACTGAGCTACATCCCTTGACCTTTTTACTTTTTGAGACAGAGCAGTCTCAGTAATTTGCCCAAACTGGGCACCAACTCGAGATCCCCCTGCACAGCCTCCCAGAATGCTGGAATTACAGGTTTGTACCGCCACACCTGGCTGATAGCCCTTCTTTGTAGAGTTGGAAGGGTGCTTAAGAGACTACCGGTCCTGTCCCTTGGCTTCATGATGTGGCGACAGTCATAGCAGGGGTTTTGCCTGCCTAACCTCATAGTGCTAGTTAATGAGAAGAAAGGTTAGGTCTCAGAGATCCAAGGTCTGTGGTTCTTTCCACTAAACTTAATTTATTAAGTTAGCATATTAAGTAGATAAGTTGGAATAGTTCTGGTAAAAGTACATACAGTACATGCTTTTACATAATTTGGTAAACTTAGTAAATCCAGTCAATAATGATTGAAAAAGAAATAAAAACTGCAGCTTCTTTTAAGTGTTTCTATAGCTTAGTTTTGTTAACATAAGCAAGCATTTTCGTGACTGGTTTGTTTTACCCTAATGTCCCTAATTCTCTTACAGTGCACGACTGAGAAGCTTCTGTGTTTAGATTTCATCCTTTGTGCCCTCACTTTCCCAAATGACTCTGGATTTTAAAAATATAAATTTTATTTTATCCTATTCCCCCTATAACCTTCCTCCCCTCCCTATGTACAGAAACTTAGTTTCCATTTTTTCTTCTATTTCCACTTTTTTTCTTGTCCCTTCCTTCCTTTCTCTCTCCCCCCTCCCTGTTCCCCTTCCCATTTGAACACTTTCTTCCCATTGCCCAACATCCAGATGCATTTCAGTTCTCATTTCCACTTTCAATTTCTCACACCAGAGAAACGATGTGGTATTTAAACATGTGTGTCCAATTTATTTCACTTAAGAGTATGGATTTATAGATTTTCTGCTAGAACAGTTCTAGTCCTAAATCACTTAGCCCCGATGACATAGGATCCAGTCTGTGCAATATCCCTCATGTTTTATATAGTCTTTTAAATAAAATCTCTTCTGTTTTATTTACTTTTCCTTTCATTAGTTCTTGTTTTTCCACTTAACAAGTAGTGTGAGAAAGTGTTGGCACAAAAGTATGAAAAATCCAGGTAAATGAAAAGATTTCAGTAAAAAAATCACACTTAACTATTTTGAAATCCACTTAACTATTCTCAAATCTACAATAAATGCCCTTGGCCTTTCTGATATCCATAAAATAACATGAAGAACTTGCAGGAAGATTCGTTGAAAAATCAAGTTTACCATGGTTGCTCAATACCTTTTTATAGGGAAAGGCCGGCGGCAATCCCTATAGAAATCAAGAGCATTGATGATACTTCAAATTTTGATGACTTCCCTGAGTCTGATATCTTACAGCCAGGTAAGACAGTTCTGTAATGTGACCCAAGCTATTAAAAGTCTGTGAAGATGTCATTACATTAATGAGAGTACTTTGCTCTTGGTGAATTTTTCTGTCTTTTTAGTGCCAAATACTGCAGAACCAGACTACAAGTCCAAAGACTGGGTTTTTCTCAATTACACCTACAAGAGGTTTGAAGGGTTGACTCAGCGTGGCTCCATCCCCACTTACATGAAGGCTGGGAAATTGTGAGGGAGTTCCACCATGCCCACAACCATGAGCACTCAGGTAGCTGCACCCCGGGCCTGCTCAGTGCAGATCTCCAGACCCTGAAGTCTCCTAAGGATGGCAGTGCTCACTGGCGACAGAGGAAATTCTGCAGGACTAGGGTTTCTAAGACTGGTACAGGAATGGGTTGGCAGTGCCAGCTGGCTTTTTAAAAAAATATTTTATTATTTTTGTTAACTTTATTATACGAAGGTACTGGAATAAAAGGAATGTACATCCCCATCTGACTACCCTGCCTGCCTGCGTAGTGAGGTCCATCCCGCCTGTGTGTGCTCTCACTTTGAACTGGGACTCAGGAGAGATCTAATGCAGCGTTGGCCAGCTGTAGGCAGCACTGCAGCACTGCTGTTTCTCTGCAGATCTTATGGGTCTGGATGCATCAGTAAAAGCCATCTTCCACAGCTGGTGTTAGAACATTTGCTCTATTGGTTTGGACACCTGTAGAACATATCTGAAGACAATTTCTGTAATGCTTTTAAGAAATACACTGGTTCCTTAAAAATAGAATTTATCATCAACTTACTACACAAACTGCACAATAGGGAGTGAAAAGTTTCCATTAAGGTTTTTACTTTGCATTCAGAAATACCGATGATATACATAGTCTATGTACTCATAGGGAGATGTACTGTATTACATAAAACGTAAAGTTGCTTTGTGACATGAGGACTTTTTTTTTTTAACAAGAAGACATGGCATTACTTTAATTTGATTATGTTGAGTTGAATTTCAGAAATGACCATGAAGGCTGCTTTTAGAACCTAGTATATTTTTATTAAGCTATTTTTTTAAATGTCGAACTTCTGATCATGTAAATGGATTTGTAAGAACAAGAACTATTTACTTTGGTTTTATAGAAAGTTGTTATATATCATGCCTGGTTAGCTTTTCTTTCTTTTGCTGAGAAAGTTTCCTTTGATAGTACTTGTATTACTGTGCCATTGTTTTCTTCTGCTCCAGATGTACCAAAGATCCTGGACAAAGTAGATGCTCATGGTGGGGTGGGGTTGTACTTCCCTGCGGGAATGCTGTGTCCAGGCGGGACAGGTCTCTGGTGGAGACCCACCTGTCCGGCAGTGCTGTCATGTGGCTGCATCACTGGTCGGTGCCAATGGAATTAAGACAGCCCGTGCAGGCCAGGGGGGTGCCTAGGAGATGGGGAATCATGTCAGCATCGAAGTCTTTGGGTATTTCCCCAAGAAATTATCTTTTCTTGCTCAACATTTTAATTCTAAAACAACTTTCCAGGATGTGAACTTCGTATGTTCCAGTTGAGGAATTATAAGTTTATTGAAGAATGGCCTCATTTCTATCTTAACTGTTTCTTAATTGATAGAATTACAATTGGTCTGTGATCGAAACCTACAATGATGGTTAATTTGTAACAGCGTCTCTCTAGGGGGAGGATTACCTAGGAACATGGTGCAGAGCTTCAGAGCTGTTATAAACGCTGCACTGGGTAATGCCACAGTGTATCAGTGAGGCCACAGGGCGACCTTTCCTTTTGATTGCTTCAAGTATTTGTTGAGTCCTTATTTTGTTCATCTACTGGCTCATCTCTATTTTCCTAGTCTGGATCATGTGGCTGTGTATTTAGAAGGAGCTAGGAAAACTCTGGGGTTATCTCAGTTTGACTAACCTTAACTACCTTTTATTAAAAAAAGAAAAAAATCTTTAATGCCTGCTGGGGTTTATGAGATTTTCTTGCTCCAGCTCATCCCGTTTAAAGGGATTTTAATTAGTAGAGGTTCCTGGCTATTGGACACATTCAAAATGAGTGTTTTATGTAAATTTACTTTCTCTTTTAAAAGAGGACTGCTTTGCTAGTGTGACAATGAACAGGTAAGATATGAAGAAATTGCAACACCCTCTGGTTCAAGTGCAATAGCTATCCTGGTACAGAAAGTATCGCTAATTCAGGTGGACTGAGAGTATTTGAGATTAGTGCACAGGAGCTGAATTACCCAAGTTTACCTTTTAATTGCATAGAAATGGGGCATTTTAGTTTCATTTCCCTCATTATTATCAGAAATGGGAAATGGATATGATTTCTTGGCAGTGAGAGGGACATTGTGGAAAGTTTGTTTAGTCTGTTTCTTCTTTGGAGTTAGAGTGATCCACATCTTCAGGATTTTTCCTCATCAAAAGCATTTCTTAAGTGCCTATCTAAAAGCAGTGAAAGACTGTGTCTGCCCTTTGGAAGCTAAGATTTGATTCTTGATGCACATTAACTAGATGATTTGCAGAGGAACCTTGAGGTTTACTTTTCTCTATTATACATTTCCCATATTTCAGGTGAATAATTTAAATGATAAAACCCTGTCTAATCAACTGGGCATATTGACATTTTCTTTAAATTAGACTCTATTTTGAATTTTAAAAGTTTTAATATAAACAATGTGGGGTTTTTTTCTAAGTATGTAGAAAGCTTGTAAAATTCAGATTCATTGGTTTCCTGATTTAATGTAGACTGACTTTTTTATTAAAATCTTTTATATTAAAGCAAATTATATTTTCTTTTATGCATTTATTACCATAGCTTTAAATCTTTAAATGTATTAAAGCATTGTGCTCTCTGGAAATATAGAATTGCTTTTTTTTGGTACCAGGGATCGAACTCAGGACCTTGCGCTTGCGAGGCAGGTGGTGGAACCACTGAGTTAAACCCCCAGCCCATACAGAATTGCTTTTTAGCCAGCCACTTCTAAATGAAATATATAGCTGATCTAATAAGCTAGTTAGTTTAATGGAAAAATACCAAATAGGGAATATCAAAAGTGTTCTTTCCTGAAGCTTAAGATAGGGTTTCATTTATTTCCTTAACAGCGTACTTTTTTGTTTTTCAAACCCTTTCATATCTTTGTATAAAACTGTAAATTTTAAAATCTTTAAGTACATTTACTTTTGGTGTTTTAGTGTACAAAACCTCTTTAGACAATCAGTCTGTACTGGTAAAAGAAACACCCTCTATCTTTTGATGGTCTACAAGCACATTAATAATTGAGATTTTAATCCATAGAGATCCCTCACTACTAGAAACATTGTTATTAAAAATTCAGAACATTCAAAATGACTGATACAACCATCATTATTTGCTGTTTTATTTAAAATTTATTTTCTCTTAGAAGTGCACTTATTTCTGGAAAATCTTAATGAAACAAACATTTAGAATAAATATAAGACAGTTGGGACTATTAAGAGATATTTCAGATTTTTTATGATAATGTGGGGATATTGCTGCTTTAAAGAATAAAGTAATAAAAATACCTTAATTATTTTTTAAAAAGCAATATAATCCAGCAGTTGTCTAGAAAAATAATCATCATGCTGTTGAATCCAGCATTTCCAAAATTATTTTGGTGGTATGAGGGCTTTTTCATTGTAGGTAAGACAAGAATAAAAACTGTATTTACAAAATTTCTATTGGTGAAGTTTTTTTGGTTTTGAGTTTTGAGATAGGTGTTATCCGGAACTCAAGAAAGACTATTTTGCGAGTGCAAATTACTAAATAACCATCTCACTTGAAAATCGTACCAAGAACAAAATAAATGTTTGAAGTATCAGTTGTGTTGCATTTAAACAAGACAGTGGAACAAGCTTATATTTGAAATTGTTCAAATCTACAGCACAGTTTCAGGTACTTGCTGGGCACAGAGCTTATATTAGAACTAGCCCACCAGGCAAAAAGTTAGCAAGCAGTGAGTTGAAAATGCCTCAAAATAGCACAGAGACGTGACTCACTTAGCACTACCTCCTGTTCCATGGCAGTTGCTGACAACTGGTCACATCTTTTCCCTGAGCTCAGAAGGAGCCAGTCAGGACTCCATCAGCTGAGCTATTGCTCAGCAGTTCCCTGACTTAGGTCATTCAGCAATGCTATTGTAAGACAAGGCAATAAAAATAGTGAATGTCAGGATGTGGGCATTTGAGCAAACTTGGAAACAATTCAATTTTGAAAAGTATCTAATGATATAAAGAACTTGCATACAAAGTGCTTTCACTGATATGTTTCATTTTGTTTCTTACAACTGTTCTGTAAGTAAACATAACATTATTTTATAGATGATGAACATGAAGCTGGGTGATTATGACTTAACCCAAAACAGGAGTAATAAGTTACCCAGGAACCCTCTGCCCAGGGCTCCTCCTTCCCCAGATCATAGAGCATGCTTCTCAAAATACAGAAGAACATGTGGGTGATGTGGCAGCGTTACTCTGGGTTCTGTCACTTCATGCCACAGAGGGCACAGGTGAGGTGGCTTTAGCGGTAAGGAAAACAAGTTACTCTTAGAACATGAAGACACAAGCTACCTTCCAGAGAAGTCATTTAGCATCTCAGAAACATCAAGTTCGCTGGTCACTTCCACTTCTCTTCTCAGTCATCCTCAAGAGTGTCGCCTTTGGCCCTGTTCCTGTTTTCTCAGAGATGCTAGATGGCTGCAGAGACACCGAGCACCAAGTCTTCACCGCTCAAAGGCCATGAAAGGAGAAATCACAGGGCCAGGGTTGCAGCTCAGCACAGCACTTGCCTAGCACATGTGAGGTCTTGGCTGCGATCCACAGTATGGCAGAACAAAACAAACTCCCATCTTGTGCGCCCTTCTCTTGAAGAGCCAGGAAGATCTTGCAGGAGCATCCTAATAAGCAAGGCACCTTAACATCTCATTGTCCATGGCTGTTATCTCTCCCCTGCTAAGCCATTATCTGCCTGGCAACTGACTTAAATCCTTGGGAGGGGGTCACCTAAAGCACATGGCCACCTAATACCAAATGAAGATTTTGGGTCAAGATGCAAGGTACCAAAAGATTGATTGCCAGGGCATCTATCGTAATAGTTTTTACCTGAAGCCATTTGTCTTAATCACTTTATTGTCGCTGGAACAAAATACCCAACACCCACAACTGAAAGGAAGAGAGGTTTATTTTGCCTCCCAGTTTTAGTCCATCGGTGGCTGGCTCTAAGGCAGGAACAGAATGGCAGAAGGTCCCAGCAGAGGAAAACATGCTCAAGCCATGACAGCCAGGAAGCAGAGAAGGGAGAGGCTGTGTCGCACCCTCAGTGACCCAGCCCCAACCAGGCCCCACCTTCCAGCAGATATGCACCCATGAACACGAAAGAGATGAGTCCCCCGTGGTCCAGCCGCCCTCCACACACGTGAGACGTTTAGATCTTCTGGATCTAAACCATAACCTGGTTGCACCTAGATTCTGTTGCTGGGGCTGCCATTGCCTGTAAATGAACTGAATGTTCATTAACATCAGACCATCAGAGCAATAGGGTTGGGTTTCTGGACCTCATAAAACAAGGATGGATTTATAGTTCAGTGACCAAGGCTTGCTTGGCCATTTTTGGTACTTTTTTATTGGCATATGTTTACGATACATAATAATTACAGATATCTTGGGATACACACACACACACACACACACACTAGCTCATCTTCACTGTTTTTACTTTCACCATCTTTCTCAGCTCCTTTTCATCAGAGCAGATCATAGAGACCCTCATCAATGTAGTCTCTCCCAGACTCAGGGATGCATTAGTCTAACAATTGATTCAATTGCTTTGTGCAAACAACAAGATAGGTTTTGACTACCCTTTTTCTAAAACATCAAATCCATAAACATAGAATGACTTTTAACACATTCAGGGCTGAAATTTGTATGTCTCACTGCCAGGCAGCTTGAACCACCAGTGGTACACGCATGACCTTTTACTAGTAAAAAGGAGACTTTTAAGGAAACTTTTTACTAGTAAAAAGACCAAAAAATTGGATTAGATTCAGTTGTACCACCAATGGTACAAGCTGCCTCATGGGACAGTCATACATGTACCACCAGTGGTTCAAGCCACCGGGAATGTCTCCTTCCACAGAAGAAACTTCCAGGAAAGGGAAATTGTCTGTGGTGGGCCTAATGCTTTACATTTTCTTGTCCTGTTAGGTAAAATAATCTTGAACTGAACTTGAAGAATCCTGCATAATTTAGGAAGACCCATGCCTGTTGTAAGTGTTCCAAACCCACAAAAGCACAAAAGTGGGTTTAGACACAGTGCACACATACCAGCTCTAAAGGAAAAAACAAGCAACACGCAATAATCCACATGGAAAGAGATTTTTTATTTCCTGTACAGGGATCAAACCCAGGGGTGCTGGATCCCAGCCCCTTTCACTTTTTTGAGACAGGGTTTTGCTAAGTTAAACTTCAGTCAAACTTGCTTGCCTCCTGCCTCAGCTTTACAAGTCACTAGATTACATGTGTGCATTCCCACATCCCACTCCCTCATTCTTGTCCTGAGTTTTGTCAAAAACCTAGGCTTAAGATCTATTTTTAACAAGTTGAGATAATATTTCCTAAGGTTGAGTTCTCAGAGCCCAGAGTTGTTTCAAAATCAACCAGAGTTGAAATAAAGATTTAATGTCTCACCTGACACCTAAAATCAGAATCTTTGGGGGTGGGTTTGAAATTTACACATTCTCATGCATACTGGCTTTTGTGAACCACCGAATTAGTAGGAAAAGGCTACTGGTGGACTTTTCCAAAAGGAAACAGTACATGCCACTTTAGCTGTTGTGGGAATGTCCATATAAAGTAGGTGGCATATGATACACGCTCAAATGTTTGTGGACAAATAAATTGCTATGTTTTGTGGGTGGCCCTATTTTCCAGCTAAGGCCAATCTAAAGATATTTTTACTTTTAATAAAAACAAATATAACTCCAAAAGCACTGAAAAAGAATATCACTTTTGCTGAAGATATTTTCAAAGAAAATAAAGAGGGTTTGCATTACACAATGAAGCTGCTTGAACACCTTTCTAAAAGATGTCTCTCACATGTCCATTCCCTGTGGCAACTACCACCACCTCCTTTGCCTTCCTGCCTCTTCTTTTCTCTGAGTACATGCTCCTCCCTGTATATTCTCTGCTTTGTTTCTCTGTTTTAGGCCAGAAGGAGGCTGATCTTTCCCATACCCTAAGACCCCGAAGCCCACTGTCAACCTGTCTGTCCCTCTGAAACTCCCCTTTCTCCTAACTACACTCATTAACTCAGCAAATCTGAGCCCCTTCCCCAGGATCCACTCTCTGTAGACTGCTGGCCACAGGGTAGGGAGAATGGGTCATTCTGAATATTACTTAGTCTAAATATTATTTATTCATTTCCCCCAGTCATGTGGGAGCTCAGAAATGGGTAGTGGCTGTTTTTATGCATCATTGGAAACAATGTCTTCAATCTATCTACACCTGAAACAAATGGCTATTTGTCTTCTGGACCTAGTAAAATATCTAGGCGGCCTTAAAGGAACCCTAAACCACATTGCAGTTTTATAACCCCAGCAGGGGATCTGCAGGGATAGGAGTCTATTGCTTGTGAAGCGGAGGACTGTATGATCTACCCTGAAATCAGTTCTGCTCTTGCCTGAACACTTAGCTTCAGTGAAGCAAAGTTAAGTCCACTCGAGGATAAGGAAAGTCTTCTGGAAAACAAGGCTCTTTCTGGGCATTTGCCAAGAGGAACGGCACTAGGCATTCTGCGGATCAGGTTACCAATCACTCTTCTCCCAGTTTCTCCGTGGAAAAATGTGCGAAGCCTTAATTGGAAATGTGAGATCACCTTCCCAGCCATCGGGAAAGATGTTCCGTGACTATCTCTTCCCTTATCCTGCGAGGTTTGATGAGCTATTCTTAAAAGGGAAACAATCACGTAGTGAACCTTCAGAGGAAAAAGAAAGCCGTAAGGTAGGGAACAATGATTGGAGCTCTAAGACCGAGGGCCTTACCAAACGCTCCGAGGAGCTGACTGTAGCAAAGAACACCCGGGAAGGAACACACCGGACAAGATGGAAAGTAAAACAGACCTTTATTAGTCTGGCCAGACCGCACTCCCAAAGCCAAGTAGCTTAGAGAGGCAACTGGCTCAGAGTCCGAAGCTGTTTTTATAGGGGGTCTCAGGGGAAGTTGGCAAGCAGAAATACAAAAGTGGAGGAGAGAGATAAAACAGACCTTTTACAGATTGTCCTTAAGATAACATATTCAGATATGGAGTTGGGCAAGCATGACAGAACACTACACACACAACAGACCTTCCTGCCACCACAACAAGCACTGGAACTTGATGTCTACCTGGTGATCCATAACAGAAGCAGAAAGTTGGGGCCCTGTTACAAAGATGGAGTAACTGTTGTTCAGTCTTACAGAGCCAGTGATGACGGTCTGCTCTGCCGGCACCTTAGACTTTCAGTTTCACAGTTTCGGGTCTGAATCCTCCCCACTTCCTTCAGGCTTTGGGCGGAAGTAAATCATCGTTTCTTAGGCAAAACAGCCGCAATGCTTCCCAGGCCAGCTTCTGGGCGGCTCTCTCTGGGCGGACAGGAGCCGTGACACTTAGGTCTTGCTTCCAGTGGGTGAGCCTGACCAAA